AAAAAATGCGAAAGCAGACTGTACCTCTGAGTTCAGGGTCATCACACACAACCATTGCATCAAACATGCGTTTGTATGCGTGTTGCTGACTTACCATTTTTTTCATGCATGTTTCTCTCTCATCCCGTCTGCAGCCTAGGATTCACCATCCATTCCTGACTGATTTGGAGTCACGATGATCGTAGCTCAGGTCTCCTAGCACCAAGAACACGGATCACTCAGAGGTACCCGGTGTGCGAGTCAGAGAGCAGAGAGCATACGAGGCAGAGAAGGAATCGGCCTAAATTCCCCTAACAACGATGGCCTCCAACCTAAGAGCGAGGATCCTCCGATCATGCTTGCGTGAGGGATTTTTCCTCCATGTCATCAAGGGTCAAGTCAGAATAGGCTTTTTGCATCTCTTTGCAAAGTATTGTCCCGCCACTTGAAACCACCGCGCATCGGTGGTAGTTTATGCCAGCAGGCAAATTAATGCACATTGCACAAGGCATATTCAATCCCAATCGCGCAGCTATGTGCATGGAGATGTGCTAAGACCTAGGAATAGACTTGACTGCCCCTTGCTGCGAACACTTCTGGATGCAAACACGTAGATCCTGGTTGGCCAAATAATGGCAGGTCTAAGGAAAGACACATGAAGATGCTTGGTCATAAAGGTCACTTTAAAGGGCTCAAACACAGCCTGCAACTTTTCCAGGTCTACACCGCGGATGCTCAGGCCACACCTAACTGACTCGCTTGCCGTCAGGAGGTGGTCGACGAGCCAAAGGGCCGTGGTCGGAAAGGGATCATCGAGACGGTGAAGGTGCGACGAGGGCCGCAGTGGAGGTCACCACGACTGGATGCGACGGGTCTCCTTCATCAACTGCCGACATGCATGTATCCATTGTATCCATCATATATTGATGTTCCGACCTTCTCCATTGTGATCGCCATGATCGCCTTGCGATGTTTCTAACTCGCTAAACTCAATTCAATGACCGCAGGTTTGCCTGGTCAGGTCAAGTCATGTGTTTTGAATGAAGGATTCCTTCACCCTGCGGAAGTGACTGGAGAGCCCAGCAAACCAGAACTTGATTGAACTTGCGGAATCGTTCTGGTAGACTGACAGTAGTTTCGAGTTGCAGGCTTGCCATTTTTGGGACAGCTTGGTGCCTTTGCACAAATTCGAACATTTGTGTCTAATACTACGAATAGAACATGCGGGGCATGAGGAACCACGAAAAAGGCGAGACAGCAGTGGGCAAGACTTCTTTCAGTAGCGATGGCCTCCAACCTAAGAGCGATGGCCTCCCCCTAAGAGCGATGGCCTCCAGCGTAATAGCAATGGCCTCCGACCTAATTTATCCTTTCCCTAGAAGATAAAGTGCAGACACTCAATTGTACAAAGCACCTAGCATGTATGTGCCACTACAGGCCTAATGTAATTATCATTCTATGGGCAACATTAAAACAACACACACAGTTTAAGAGTGCAAAGCAAAGACGCCGTCCACTGCAATGTATTCGCAATGACATTATGCAAAAGGCTTCAGCCATTCAAACGGCAATAGGCCACATGTGCTTTCTATGGAGCAGATCGCGGGAGATGCCCCTTTTGTGCATATCCAGGAGAACAGCCACTGATGAATTGATTGGTCCAGAAAGCAATATCATCCATGACTGCCATGGACTAAGTGAATCCAACAGTCCAGGACCCACTACTCTGTGTGGTTAACACAGCAGCGGCATTTGTACGACGACTCTTTGACAAGCGATTTCATATGGTTTCATAGTAAGTCTCGCCCAGCATTCAGGATCTGTAGTTGGACCAGCTGGCGCTTTGAATCCACTGAAGGGACCAGGTATAGACTACTGACTACACTAGCATACATACACTGTTACACTGGTAGAAAGTTGGTGGATGTTGTTGATAGATCTTCCATGTGTTGGTTGACAGGGTATTCTTTTCTGCAGCCTGAATGCCACTACAACTTCCTCCTTTTGCTGGCGCTGCCACGTTGTTTTTAATACTACTTTGACCTTAACATGAGAACGTTTTTTTGTGACTTTTCCGTGACATGATTCTTGAAGGAATTCAATAGACAATCTGCTTGACACAATCTGCTCTTTGCGTTCGGCCTGGTCCAGTCGACGAGCAGAATTCGTGGCGTGGTGCACTCTTGGATTACAGAGAGGGGCTGGGGCCGGGGCCTTGCAGATCTGAATCTGACACGACTGACACGACTTCGGGTCTACTAGCGATGGCCTCCAACCTAATAGCGATGCCCTTGTTCGATGCCCTTGTTACTAGTAACTTCTTGCTACTAGTAGTAATGCACTTGTTACTAGTAGCGATGCCCTAATAGCGACGGCTTCTGGAGGGACATTGGGACCAAACTGAATAGGACCGATCCACCCAGGACTGCTTGTTGTTTTGACCCGCATGGCTCAGATAGGGTTGGGACCGACGTAAGTCACTACGCTATATCCGGGTGACGCGGTTTCTCCCTCACCCACCTCGAACGAATGTTGACACATTGTTGACGGCTTTGCACTTGCCCCGCTGAGCCCGTGCCCCCAGGCTTTGCAACCATTCCAGGTGGGGATTTGCAGTGCTGGAAGTTCTTTATTCCTGAAGTGGTTAGCATTCGTAACTCTTCATTTGGTTGGGCGTAGGACACCGAGAGAATATTTACTGACAGGGAAACCTGCAAGAGTCCGATGGGAAATTAAAGCAATGGTGCAGAATGATTCTCATCTCTTCAAAGGCAGTTTGTCAGTTCCATGATTTTTTTTGCATCTTTTGTATTTCTTTCTGCAGACCTTGCGACTTTTCTTGTGTCCTTCTTTCATTACACAGCAGTTAGCAGTTTTGTTCATGATTGTCGGGTATTTGGAATGGGGCAATAATATTGATGCTTGTCATTTTTTGACTGCAACGGTTGCGGGCGCACTCAATTGGGCAAAGCAGTTGATTCAGTTCACAAATTTGCTTTGTGACCGTCTCAGCGAAGTCGAACCTTTTCGTTAGAAGCAGACACGTCTTGTTACAGCTCTCTTTTGTTAACATAGAATGCCGCTTCATGTCAGGATGTACAGACATCTTCGTGCACTCGCACCACTGTGTGGGAGGTGTGGATTTTGTGTCAGTTTGTCATCAAGACACTCTGCACTGAACAGGGTAACCACATTTTGTGTGGACAGTGCTCTTTGGGTGGTAGCAATGCAAATACACGGGACTGGACCTCTCTATTGAACTGTCGCTGGGGATCTCAGTCTGAGCTGATCGAAGCAGCTGCACCAATATCCCGCCAGTGGCACGATTCAATGTCCACAATGACAGCAAACAAGCCTGTCAATCAAGCAGCTCAGATGCATCGCACAGAAAGAACATGTAACATGTATGGTTTCTTGCTGTGAGACTCGCAGCACAGGTTGCGTTGGCTTCAAGGAAAATTCAAAGTCCTAAAAATCTAGGAACCAAATCATTAGTGCGAGCGCTTCCTTGAAGCGTGAGCCGTGCGCTATGCTGCGTCCAGTAGGTACTGGCTTCCTATTGCTATATAGTAGCTTACTAGTCACCCTTACTTAATTAAGTCAGTCTGCCTACTTAAATGAGTAGGAGTGAGGTCGGAAAAAAGGTAAGAACACAATTGGAGCACACCAATGTCACCTGGTAGGATTCATCCCCAATCCTGGTGACGTGCTGGAGTTTGAACTTGAGAAGGGCAAGCCCGGAGGGCCCAGCTTCAATTTCCGTTGGACTCGGGGCCGGTGCTCGTTTATTTACAGTATGCTTCAGCCATAAATGCTTCTTTCAGGTGTGACAGATTTCCATCAATGTGTGCAGGTCAATTTTCGGAGCTTACTCATTTCCTTCAGCATGGTCATATCGACCAGGTGTTGTGGGTTCGCCTGGAACTATTTCTATCCTTGCTCACACTCAATCTGTCATGCTGAGTTTCAGTCAGAAAATTGGGTGATGGACCGTCTTGGACTAAGCACCAATCTGTGACATCCACTGAGGAAGAAGGACGGGACAATCAATTTCACAGCCATCAATGTAACGCTGGCTACACCACATGCATCTCGAACAGCAAGCAGACTTTTGTCCAGTCCGCACTTGTCCATCCATTTGCCAGATGCTAGATGATCACGACTCAGCATGAACCTTGAGCAGAGTGTCTTTGGAGGACGGCACCAATGCTCTCTAGAGAGGAAAGTTGGCTACGATGCTTATGTTCTTAGGTACCTGCCATGGGCCCAAAGCCTGCCCAAAATATTGTGCCCTTGGGTATCAAGCGAATGATGGGCAAGGCCTGGAAGCTCAGCTGCGGAGAGATTTCTTCAGCTTTGACACTCACTGAAACCCCGGCAAACATGGACAAACAGACACGAAAGAAAGAACAAGAAAGGAAGAACATTGAAGAAATTAATGGCCCAGGATTTAGATGATCAAAGGAAGAAAAGGAGCGAACGTCTAGCATTTGATGTACTTTGTTGAGTGCCACTGTGAGCCACCTCAGGTGAGGCACGGTGACCCAACCGCGTTTGGAGAATAACACTGAAAAAGGGCCATGGGGCCATGGGTCAGATTCTGCTTGACATGTGGGTAGTGGCACTTCACTGCTTCACTGGTCAGCCAATCACGTAGCTTTGCCCCTGCTTTGACAGTCTCCAATTGGTGGGCACCACCTTGCTATTGGAGAAGATATTTCCCCAGGAAATTCATGACCTCCCTGTATATAGAGTGTTCCATCCAGCTGTTTCGCACTTGATTCGTCTTCGTTGTGTTTTGGCTCTGTGGACCAGGATGTAGAAAGGATCGGATGTAGTTTTGTTCTTGTGCCAATGCCGCCAGGAGCTCGGAAGAATGGCAAACAAACTTGGTTCAACAAAGTTTCTTCTCCCACCGCAAATGCACACTGTCCACTTTACAATGGACCACCTGCAACTTTCTCTAACAACTTCTAAACAGATATTTTCTTTGTGAGGCGCGTTGAGACGCGCAGGCCTTCTTACTCTCCAATGCTCTTGGAGGGAGGGATCCCTTTGGGAGATTGCGAGGCACACCGTCTGCAGCCGTTCAAAAACGTTACACAACAACAGCTGCTGCCATTGAACCGTTTCAGCTCTGGCTTTGCATCCATATGCATCCATGGGGTGGAACACATTAAACCTGACATGACGCTTGTGAAAGCTTCTTGCAGATCAAAATGCAGGAGGCGCAGGATTTTGAGGAGGATGGACGCCATGATGAGCGACAGGCTTTGGGCGCTTCGTGGAACACGGAGCGGCGTTGGAACTCTGCCACAAGACCACAAAGCGTTTCAATCTGAGCCAAAGCAACTACATTATTGTATGGGAACGTCCCTTTCGTTCTAGACCTGGACTTGCCAGGAAGAATCTGAAAGCCACCATAGCGAGAGTTACTTGCCAGCACAGATTCGACAAGAATGGAACCTTGGTAACCTGGCAGATTGCATGTGCTGTTTGGACACATCTTCCTTTATGGTTTATATGCTACATCCTTGTTTCTTTGTTACTATTATGTTGTTATGCTTGTTTTCTGTGCTTTCCAGGTCCATTCAGCTGAGTTTCATTTGCATTCTAGCATGTGCATTCTATTTTGTATTTTGGTTATAGTTGATTTGTAGGTAGTTTTATTGCATTTTTTGCTATATTGTTCCCGGAAATCTGCTGAAGACCCCCAGGCAGGCGACACACCAATCACCGATCCAAAAGGCTGTCAATTTGCGAATGGGCAATGAAGGTGCTTTGCGTTGTTCCAAAAGGCTTCCTATGCTTTTTTCTCTTGGGAAGCTCCATGGGATTTCCACAGATACCCATGGGCTCTTTGGCCTTTAACTTTTCGGGCTTAGTTTCCCTGCAAAAGCTGGGCATTGCTGGTTCTGTGTGGGACGTGGAAGTCGCGGACGTGAGGGACACGCGGGACGTCGGATGTGTTCTACCATTCGCCGGACCCACCGGACACATTTTGGCCGCCAGCCGGGTTGTCGCAAGGCATCCCCAAAAAGGAAGCAAAGCTGGACCATGCAGCTTCAAGTCAAACCACCGTGAGCAATCGGCAATCAAGAGTCCACATCCTGACCACTCTCGGCCTGAAGTGATTCGCTCGCTCTTCTCTTCTTTGTGGTTGCATCAGCAGTCTTGACCAGACCAGCTACAAACATCCTCAAGCACCTGGCAACAGTCTACAAAGCAATAATGAAAGATCCTCTCCTTGGTCCTTGGTGTCTTGGGAGGGTGCCGAGAACTTTTCTGATTGGCAATTGCCCAAATCACTTATATAGTTGCGACGGTCACGCTGCGTGCATGTTTTCTTGACACATTGGGCAGAGAAGCTTGTGCGCCACTTCGATGATGATTCCCTTCAGCAGGTCAATGGCTGCGTCTGGTATGAGGGCTGCAGGGTCGGAATCAAAAGGCAGCATGGCATTTAGCAAAAGACAACATATGCTCCGAAACACGTTGAACTTGTCGGTTCTTGTGATTGGCTCGGCTCACTGTCAGTGTTTTTTTTTGCGAGTTGGCTAACATGAAACATACTAATTACTGTACACAACTCTGTGAAAACCACGATGATGCCAAATTCACTTCTCATCACATGCACGGCCATATGACTTTAAAGAAGTCGATACGGTTTAGACACTACGGCTCCACAAAAAAGTCCACTGACACAAGCGAATATTGCGAGGAGCCAGCAGCAAAACATCAGCAGATATCAGCAGTAACAGCAACATCGAAGACGCAAACCATGCACAGTGCTTTGGTTGTGCTGCGCATAAGTTTACACTGTGTTTGTACTGCAGGATGTCAGGCGGGTTCAGGATAGGAAGGCCTCTTGGTTTCTGCTTCTGCTGTTGGTCTTGTCCGGGAGTTGGAGTTGCTGTGTGATTCTTCTTTTTCTCCCTCTTCTCCGACTCTTCTCCTTCTTTTGCTGCTTCTCCTTATGCAAAGGATGAAATGGACGTTGGAGGACATGAGGGACGTCGGGGACGTGGGGGACATGATGTCCTGGAGCGTGCGCGGCAATTATGACTGGGTGGGCCTTGGACTCAAAGACCACGGCACCGAAAGAAACCATGCAACAGTACTTGAAAAACATCGGGAAGTACATGTACACAGCCAAGCTGGAAAAAGCACACAAAGCACCAGGCACCAGGAGCACTGAAAACCGCCAAATTGTAAACATGCATTCTGTACCAATCTACCCAAAGCACTGCCAATGAAGGAGCAATATCGACATCATCAAATACATGACTGTCACCAATCAACAAGACCAACAGACACCATTGCATCAGTACTGGACCCTTTAAAAACGCTGGAACACATGCTAGGGAAATATGCACCACCGTACGACACAAGCACCATTTACACCTTACATGAAAACTATGCCGCCAGCTGAGCCCACACATGCCCGCACATTCTTTGTCAAGAAAGTCACTGGCGCGGGAAACGGACAAAACGTGGGGGTTCATTGATGGAGACCTTGCTTTGTGCCTCTACGCTGAGAAACTGGTCTTTGATCTCAACACATTGTGCCATATTATGCCCATGTGCCAGCGCATCTTCGCCAAGACACTCCCTCTCCATTTAGATAGATATATTTTGCAGCAATCAATCATCCTATGCCCGAACCGAGGCTTCCTCAGAATCTATCCAAGTCTGTCTCAGGCAGTGCCACAGTTTGGGTCGGGAAAATTTAAGATTGGAACTTTGTGAGATCTCCAACCTGAATTGACCTTGCTCCAAGACAGTGGGCAGAAGGGCCACAAATCGCACAAGTTCCAGGCCACACAATTCCGGAGGATATGCACACATGCACCCTGAAGATGATGCCGCTTTGCTTTCTGTACCTTGTGTTGCTGTGATTATGACGACTATATTTGGTTGCCTACGGCAGCTTGCAGCTACCGTTTGACTACTTAGCAAAGTCTACACAGCTCCTTCGCCGTGGTCCACCCTCCAAAAGAACAAATACTTTCTTTCTTTCTTTCCTGATCCTTTCGCATTCGCTTCCAGTGTTCAGCTTTTTTGTGCAGGACGAAACCCATCTTCACAGGACTGACTAATGCCGTGGCCATGGAGCCGTTTCAAAGTGCTGTCGTTAGGATGTAGAGATGCTTACGACTCGCGGGGCTACCTTGTAGAAATTAGTTTTGGACCTTCAGCCAATCTTGGTTGTGTTCCTTGTTGGGTTTCAATCATGTCACTGTCATGTTCTTCCTCATGCATGCTACTAATTTTCTCCACCCCAAGTCGTGCTAGATAGACTTCCGCAGGACTGTGCTCTATGGACTTTTAGTTGGGCTACTACTGATGTGTGCGGCACTTTCTTTTGCCTGGGACCGCAGTTGCCAGAAGTTTTCAACAAACGTTAAATAAATGGACCCCTGAAATTGATTTGTATGGAAAACAACAAGCTGTTCAGTTGGTATTGCAGTGCTTCAAGACTTCAATGAGCTGGCTCTGCTACAGTACCTCCTTGCCTTGTATTGTTTACTTTATTAATTTGTCATTGCCGTGGAATCTAGTGACAGCAACCTGTAGACAATGTTTGATTAGAAGTACTTGGCGCTCCAAGGCTCAGCGGATAGGAGTCAGAAGCTACTCTTGGACGGCCTTGCAACGATTGAACCTGGTGGCACCAATGGATCCAAAGGCCGAAGACGGAGAAATCGGAGGTTTGACCAACAGGATGATTTTGTCCAATGAAGAGAACAACCGATGCCCAGATGGTTTTGTCAAGACCCGTAGCCCCTTCAAGTCTGGATGTTTCCCCTCCAAGCTCACGTCTCCTCAGTGAAGCTCAAAGTTGTTTGTGCGGTGCAGCTCAAATAGAAATACTACGATGGAATGAGCCAACAGGGCAGTTCCTTGGAGTTGAGGTAGTTGGTTGCAATAGATATATACCGACGGACCGGAAGTTAGAATGCCATGTTGCACCGCCGGGGATGGACAAATTTTGATCTTTTCATAGGGGATGGCGTTTTGGGGGCATTCTAACTGAAACCTACATTTTTACAGGGTTTTTGAACTTGGGTCTTTGATATGTCCTAAAACAGATAAAACAGTGATAGCAAAGTTTGTTGAACACTGTCCTTTGTACTGGATTTATGCGTGTAAATGCCATTTCCTGCCCTGATCCAGCCGCCTATTCTCTTGCTTTTTTTTGTTTATTGTTCAACTGTTCTCTTTTCTGTGCCTTTCGCTTTTCTTCTGTTTCCTTTCCTCGTTTCCTTAACTGTTTCCTTTCCCATTCCTTCTCCTTTCTGCTACCATGTCCCGTTCTCAGCAATTTTGTCCCTCTTCCTTTATCCTTTCCTTTCGCCTTTTTCTACCATTGTTTCCTGTTCCTTTTTCCTCTTCCTTGTCATGTCCTTCTGTTTCTCTATTCTGTATGTTTGCAGTATGCAGCATGCAAAGGCTGGGCACATATGTTGTTTTCAAATCTATGCATGCATATACATACACTCACAGACTGACAGTTAGAATGCCTGTCTTGTTCCCACAAATTGCAGCAAGGAAGGGGGAGGAGAAACAATGGCAGGATACTTGGACATTCTATCCTTTTCATTGTTCCATGTGCCTTTCCTCTTCCCTGTTCCTTTCGTCTTGCCTCTTTCCATTCCTTTTGCCTCTTGCCTTTTCCTGTCTCATTGTTCTTGACATTTCATATGTTTGTGGTTGTTTGTTTTCCTGTTCCTCTTTTTGTTCCTTTCTCCTTTGCTTTGTGTCCGTTCCTTTTTACCTGTTCTGTTTCCTTTCCTCCTCCTTCTCCTTTCTGCTGCCATGTCCCAT